GAAAGAGCGCTAAAACACACAAAAAAATCAATCAATCAATCAATAATAATAAAAATGATAATAATAGTAATATGCTTACCCTTCCGGAACACCTGGTTCCCCCTACTTTTAGGTGGGGTTCGTGTTGCTTAGTCTTTAGTGTTTTATGTACTGTTGTTTGTCTGGTTTTTTGTTTTTCTTTTTGAGCCATGGCGTTGTCAGTTTTTTGTTGTTTTGTTTTCTTTTTTTACTTATGAGTTTGAACAACCCTTTGGTATCTGTCGCCTTTCTTTTACAGTAAAGACACACGATGTTAATTCAATGAAAATAAACAAACATTCGGGAATCACAGGACACAAGAACGTAGAGTGAATGTATTCAGAGTAAGCAGCCAACGAATATTGATTTAGCTATAGCGTTTCCCTTCTGTGATTCATGACTTGTTATTGCCTAAGAGCAATTTTCTTTATTGTTTTGATTTGTATTTGTTTATTTAGTGTTTTTTATTTAGGCATATAAAAAAATCATTTTCTAATACTATTTTTCGTTTCCTGCTAAACTTGATCTTGACATAACTCCATTGATTTTTGTCAGGTTACCGTTATAACATATGGAGCAGAATATGCTTACCCTTCCGGAGTATATGAGATCACCCCAAGTTTTTGGTGAGGTACGTGTTGCTCAGTCTTAAGTTTTTTATATTGTGTTTTGTATACTGATTGTATGTTGGTCTTTTTCTTTTTTTAACCATGACGTTGTCAGATTATTTTCTACTTGTTAGTGTAATGGCCCTTTGGTATCTTTCGTCTCTCTTTTTTCAGACTTCTATCAGTTACGTGCAAACGTGTGTCTTTCAGGATGTATATACGTCTTGTGTATATGAAAGAGACACGAGACATTGGCCACCAATCTACACCGTGATCTTTAAATTTCAGTAAAGCCATGGCTCCCAACAGTTTTCTTCATTAGAAATTAATGTAAAGCTAAGTCACTGATAATGGATTTACTCGAAAACTAATAGACAATTCTTTTATGATAAGAACTTAGAAATATGAGCAAAAATGAACCTGCTCTGATTCATAATAATATGTCTAAGTACAGTTATATGTTTCCTTCAAATTTTGAATACCTTTTGAGCACGAGCGTAAAAAAACCTTATAGGTGTGTTGTTCTAGGAGGGAAAAGAATGTTTAAGTTAATGTTAACATATTGTATTTTAGGGCGAACAAATATAGTGTTAAATAATGAGGATAGAAGAAATGATGATTCAAGACAATGGTGCCAGGACAACGGCAATATGGATATAATAATGATAAAAACCAAAAGTGATTATGACGAAGTAAAGAGCAAATTAACATTAGACTCTGTTAACACCAAGTAAGTTTCTAGCTAGACACCCAACAATGAGACAATAACTGGTTTGTTTCCTATTCTGATCAATTCGTTATTTAGAATTTGTTTTTGAAAAACGATGTACAAATATCTACAAGATTTAATCTTTCCTCCTCAAATGGAAGGTGCAATTTAAAATCATTTATATTTTTTTATATTTTTACCTCTTATGTCTGTTTGTTTTGATCAAACATTTTTGTCAATATAACGGAATTTTATGCGACTGTCAAACAATTAAGTGAGAGGTTTAGCTAGCTGTAAAACCAGGTTTAATCCGACATTTTCTACGTAAGGAAATGCCTGTACAGATTCAGGAATGGAACAGTTGTTTTCCATTTGTCTGACGTGTTTGGGCTTTTGATTTTGCCATTTGTTAAGGGACTTTCCGTTTTGAATTTTCCTTGGCGTTCGGTTTTTTCGTTACTTTACTTTTTACATGATTTCATTCGGTAATATATTAATTGTAATGATATTGAAAGTTGTAGTGTGCATTTTTGTTTTTCTCGAAGAGACAGAACATCAGTATAATTTCATCAAGCACATGTTTAACCAAAACTGAATAATACCGGATCAAAAATTTTGTAATATCCTTCAAATTCAAGTAAGTTTATTTCAGCAATTCTTGTTCTTGAAAGCCAAAAAAAAAAGAAGAAAATCCCAAGCTAAATAAATGAAATAAGCTTACCTGAATTTTTAAAATCAAACTCGCACACATGCCAAATAATTTGATCTGAGATCTAATAGCAGAAACATCCATATACGCAAATTGTCCGACGATTTTAATAAATTGAATACAGAAATGCAGTCTCATAAAATCCGTCATTTTGAATTTTCAAGAGTGTTTCATCTGTAGAGTTAAAACAAGACCTTTTCAACTTTTGATTCGTGCTTATGTTGCTTGATGTTTTATTTCAATAAATTTGAAACAAATCAAGTATTGACTCAAAAATGTTTACAAATTCAAGGTCAAATATTGACCCTACAATGACAGTCTTACGTGCTGTTTTTCATTGATGACTAAATTTATGTTTAATTAATTTATAAAGTTTACAGTAGTTAAGTTTAGATCAATTTGTAGTAGCTAATTTCGTTCTTTAACAGAAAATAGTTCATTTACCTTTTTGCAAACCAAACATTTAAGGTTTGAATATAATTAGGTTAATACAGATATATTTGAAACAAAACAAATTAAACCAAGCCATCGTGAATTTTTGTGGAGTAAAAATGTATATATTTTTCGGTCGCAGTCTCAGTGACGTATATTCCACATCTCTTTTTTTTATTCATACATCTATACTACTAAAATATTGAGGTCCAATTTGTTAGCCGGCATGACATGAAAACCACGAATCAAAGAATTCAACTCTATATTTAACTAATATAGGACAAAAGTGTTGATTAAAAATTATACCATTCCAGGCCCTTTTGTTTCCCACATAATTAATATAACCAAAAATTTACAAGTTCCTGGTCGAATCCGATACAGATAGTATATGTCACATATAGCAGGAAAACATGGACGGGTTCAAATAGAAAGATTTTGAAAGATTTTGAAAGCATAGAAAACTGTGCACCTAATCAACGTTACTTTATAAGATAATACTGAAGATCCAGGCTAAAAATAAGGCGTAGGTACTTTAGTTCAGTCACGGAACCGCGATGTCACAGAACCGCGGTTGTGTTCTAGTTAGTATCTTTTCAACTGCAATGAATGAACTGGACAACATTTCTTTGTTATGAATCAACAACATAACAGAAGTGTTTTTTTTTTAATTTATTTCCAATCATCCAAACAAATAATTATACATGATATAAAAAATGTCAGGAAATTAGATAAGGATAAAATTGCTAACAGGTTCAGAAACGATGGACACCTATATTTACAAAGAGTTAATTCGGTGTTTGTTTTGTATTGCCAACGATAGATAAGATATGTTAGCTTTACTAAAAATAGTAGACAAAACGGTTGCTGAAAAGACTAATTAATGTCAGATCTGCAATTAGTGTCTTTTTTGTTGTGAGGATGTATAAATACACTGCCACGTCCGGTCAGTGTTTTTGTTATATGTCTTTCTGCTTTGTATCGATCTAATGAGTTAAGCCCTTTGCAACTGATTTTTATAGCTTGTTCTTATGTAGTGCTGTTACAGAACAGTCCCGGGTTAGGAAAAGGGTTTGGGCCTTCAAATTAGTTTAACCCCGCCACATTCTGTATGTGCCTGTCCCAAGTCAGGGGCCTGTAAATCAGTGGTTGTTATTTGTTACTGTATATCATACTTGTTTTTCGTTCACTATTCTGTACAGGCCGTTAGTTTTCTCGTTTGAATTGTTTTACATTTGTCATTTTGGGGCCATTTAAAGCTGACTATGCGGTATGGGTTTTACTGATTGTTAATGGCCGTACGGTGACCTATACCTTTTAACTTCTATGTCATTTGGTCTCTTGTGGAGAGTTTTCACATTGGCAACAATACCACATCAGCTTATTTTCATATTAACATTAAAGGAAGATATATCAGTTGAAGAATACACTAAGGGGCAATCAAAATCATAACTCAAGTGTATGTATGAGTAAGCAATTTCCGCTCCACAAATAGTTATCGCCGTGTTTCTAATGGCGTAAAACTCAGATTATATTGATTTAATGTTTTTGTCATGAATGCAGGAAACAGGACTGGGCAATATCTGTACTCATGTAAACACCTATAATGTTTTGGCAGTAAGTACGCAATAATACATGATGGTCTTGAAGAATAGATTTTAGGTACTGACGTTGTTTATCATCTTAATTACGTGTTATATTGTTCTTTTTATTTGTCTTTGTATATTTGCAATTTTACTGTTTATTCCATTTTCAATTGGTAATATACTTTTGGTGTGGCTCGGTATTTATACATCCGATCATTGTAGTATTGTGTTATTGTGCTATTGTTTTTTTTATCTTTCATTTTTGTTGATGTACTTTGTCAATGGAGTGTCTATATGCAATTTTGGTTTTCTTTGTTGAAATAGTTATTTGTTTTTATAGTGATTTAGATTATTACACAATGTTGACTCCTGTACCCAAATTTTTGACAATTTCATTTATTATGTCTGTTTGTTTTGCTCCCACATTGTTGTCAATATAATTGAATATCATGCGACCGTCATACAAGTGTGAGGTTTAGCTAGCTATACAACCAGGTTTAATCCATCCATTACATAAGGAAAGTTTTTGATTTTGCCTTTTGATAAAGGACGTTCCGTTATTTTTTTCTATTTTACTTTTTTTTCATACATCTAAAATGCAAATTAGTTTGATAATATCATATCAATTAGACATAAAAAAAAAATAACAATATTTTGATTAAAAAAAGCATTAGCTGTTTCTAGCCGTTCTCTTATTTAGTTCTCAGTTCTGGATTGGTCTATATTGGAATACAGTCAATCAGCAATTCTATTGGAGGGATAATACCGTTTTGAATTGGAACCATTGGTGTTATGCCGGTTCAGGCAATTCCAATGAACCAAACTGTATGACATCTTTCTCTGGATATTGCGAATCACAACAAGACTGTGTCCGAATTATGTATTACCCACAATCTACCTGGTGTTTTGCCACATATGATTGCAATTCTGACTTTAAAACAATGTGTGGTGGATGTAAGTAAAAATTAAATATAACTTCGTTTTATAAATTATACAAGTATGGACACAGATCAGTGTGGATAGTCATTGTTTTATTATTGTTACTTAGTAGTATGTTTGACAGTATTTCCTCTATTGAGCTTATGCATTGGTTGTGCCCCACAAGATGTATTCTACACTATTATTATGTCATTCAAATATGGTTCTATGTTAAACTGTTTTCCACGGTGTTCAGATACGAAGCAAAAGCTCAATATTCTCATAGTGTCATTTATTCAGTATTTGGTTATGATGTTCAAGATTTGGAGAGGTTGCTATTTGTATAGATTTCCTGAATGGTTGTATGTTAAACTTTTATTTAAGAGTAGTGACAGTGTTTTTCAACAGTAGTGACAGTGTTTGTATTCGGATAAGCACCAACACTCAAATATTAGAAGAGGATCACCATAGATGCATACTAAGATTTTTCAAATGTTTGTTATGGGTTCTGTTTTGTTTGTGAATATTTTTTGTATGGTTTTATCATGCTCCACCGTGTTGATCTAGTCTTTTATCAGATTGGCACTAAACATCGCAAATCAGTAAAGGATGCCCCAGTAACATAAGTTGAACATTGTGTTTAAATATGTGAGACAGTTTTTGAGAAGACTCTATATGTATGTATTTCTCATAGTATTTTGTTAAACTGTGTTCAATTGCGATGGCCATCTTAAATTTTGATTGGCAACAAAAATTGTAAATTGGTATTAGTCTATCTACGGATCATTCCTTCACCAATTAAAATAAATATGCAAAGATCTTCCAAAGAAGATGGATAGTTGGATCTAACGTCCCATTGGGACTGGAGGTGGCTACGAATTTTCACATTCAGTTAAGCCAAACAAATAATCATTCGGTTGTGCCAGATGTATAAATACGCAGCAACTTCCGAGGCGAATATAATGTTAATTCCGATGCCTTTTGTTGGGTTAGGGGCACGCTCTCTGAATGCGTTATATACACCTTACAACAACTCTTGTGGGTTCATAAATTGCCTGTTGCAAGGTAAAATTACGTCTTTCATCAAACATACCCTAATACATAATGCACGTGGCTGTTCTCATTTTTCGCCTTTTATTTTTTTTGTCTTTTAGCATGTATTTATATCTATAGTACAGATAGTAGTAACTGATCTTCAAATCTTTTTTTGTCTTTTAGCATGTATTTATATCTATAGTACAGATAGTAGTAACTGATCTTCAAATCATGAACTCGTCACATTAACCGTGTATGTCTGTTTTGGGTTCCTCGTCCAATTATGTAAATATAACGGAACTAATAACAACTGTCATACCGGTTCAAGGTTTAACTAGCTATAAAACCAGTTAAACCCACCATTTTGCTCGGAAAATTTCTGTACATGGTAAAGAATTTGACTGTTGTTTTTCACTCGTTTAGTTGGTTGAAAATGTTTGATTTTTTCAGTTTTTGTGGACTTTCTCTTTTTGAATAATTTTGAAGTTCGGTATTTTTGCTATACTTTTTTGAATGTTGTAGCTCTACACTAACTTTCGAAACAGTCTTATTAAAACTATAGTCAAGACATTATTGGCACAATTATATCGTTGGCATGTGCCATGATGTATCAAGTTCGTACTTCAACATTTCCAATTGTCTTAACCACAATTCTGTCCTCTATTACTCGAATGTGACCAACCGAATTAGACTTACTACGGGGTTTGTACTAACATAATCTATACCACGAGTGTCGCATCTGTAGCAGAATTTGCTTACTATTTTGCAGCTTTTGAGATCACCCCTAGTTTTTGGTGAGGTTTGTTTTGTCAGTCTTTAGTCTTCTATGTTATGTTTTGTATACTGTTGTTTGTCTTCTTAGTATTTTTCGATTTGCCAAAGGGTGTTGTCAGTTTATTGACGTCTAATGAGATTGATTGTTCTTTTGATATCTCTCGAGACGTTTGCCTCTCGATTACAAGTGTACTATAATCCTGGTATTTTTTTATAGATACTTGGGTTTTCTCCATTGGAAAATTAAAACGTATCTCGATGATAAAGGCGATGTTCCTTCAATGTTCCGTGTTTTTAACAAAACCAACATCACTGACGAGACACCAATTTGTCGATAAGTGCATATGGTATAAATAAAGTATTACTGTTTGATATTAAAACTGTAAACAAGTAACAATTTGACAAGGTTAACATTTTAGCATAACGATGAATTCTTTTACAGTAAGATTACATGATGTTTATATGTACAACAACTTTTTTAAACTTAGTTTAACACGTCTTTTTCTGCATACATGTATTTATTTGGTATAAGCTATTAGAATTTATCACTAAAAGCTTGTTAAGGGACATCACATGGCATTCAGATATCACAAATTCAATTATTTCAACATATACACGTAAATGATTAGTTTCGGATTAAATTATTGATAGCCTTTTAATTATCATATAAATCATGTACTCTTAGTATTGAGGGCTGTGATCAAATAATATCTTTATATATCATTTTTATAGTCAAATCAAAGCCAAGGAATTTACTATTGATGTATTGACTTGAAATTTCATATCCAATCAAACGGTATATACATTATAATTCGGGTGCTACGAAAAAATAGCTGTCATTAACATTTATCATAAGCAGTTTTTCTTCAGCCATTTTCATCTCATGGAACTGCGAATAGAAATTCAACCAATGAAAAGTTTAAAAGAACGGGAAAATCAGTTTTAGGTTACAGATTTACAAAAAATTATAAACAAAAAAAATATCAATTTTTTGGAATATAATTATATCTTCAACAGAAATTCTTTAAAAAAAAAGGTTAGCGCTGAAATATCAATTTTGATAGAAATACCTTGTATCAGGTTTATTGAATAGCAAGAGTGGTTGCCAAAAGATAAAGAAAAATACAAAATGAAATATTCAAATGGTTTAATTTTGACATTTTTTAATGAAAATCCGGCAAATCAGAGTCTGATGCTAATATGCTAGAAATTTTCAGCCGACAAAAACTATAGAAGGATGAGGTTTGATTACTATTTCTAAACATTCCAACGTTAACATATTGCTGCATAAACAACTGCAGAAATTTCAAAAATAGCTTTACTCCTTATGAGCTTTATGAACATAAACCACGTGATAGATGCTTAATTTAGTTTATAGACTACTTTGACCAGTTTATGGGGATACTATAAGCGTCACAAGTGACCTTTCTGCATTAAAATTTCCAAATTATATTATCTGATACATTTATCCATAAAATGAGATATTTAAAGGATTTAAAAATCTATTTTTTTTTTTTAAATTGAATTGAATGACAAGTTATCATGGTTCTTATTAAACCCCCTCTATGAACAGCTATTCTCCCAAAAAATGCAGGGTCTTTTTAATTATTTTATTATTATTCTGTTTTTATTGTTCTGCTCTTTTATCGGATTTCCACTTGGTTTCCAATACCATGGGGAGAAACTATATTTCAAATGTATCTTGTATATAATACTTCAGTATTGCTAAATTTGTTATCAGAAAGTAAGTCAAATGAAAAATAGACATGTGTTTTTTATGACTTCGTCACAGCATTTATTTAATATAGCCTTTCAATACCGTAATTATCATGATAATTGTTTGGACTAGTATTGCGAAAATGTATGAATTTCAAGATTTTGTGCTGTCTGTCGTCATTGGAAGATGTTCGTTGTAATTCTGCGGTTTACATGTTTTAACGACTATTATATTATTTATTTATGCGTTTCTCTGTGATGAGTATTCTTGCATTTGTTTGTGCTGTATTTCTGTCATGTAGTGTTGTCATTTTAGCAATTTTTTAGCATTGCCATATAAGCGGGTGGTTTGGCTAGCCATAAAACCGGGTTCAACTCACCATTTTTGTCTTAAAATGTCATGTACCAAGTCAGGAATATGGCAGTTGTTATCAAATAGTTCGTTTCGATGTATGTTGGGGTTTGTTTTTTGTTGCATTTAGTATTTCTGTTGTTCCTTTGTTTTCCTCTTATAGTTGATGTGATTCCATCGGTTTTAGTTCGTAACCCGGATTTGTTTTCTCTAAATCGATTAATGACTTTTGAACAGCGGTATGCTACTGTTGCCTTTATTTATCATATAATAACTCATGTTCTAATTCGCCCAGGGTATATAAAAGGTATGAATAAATTGAACAAAGATTTCCAAATATCTACAATTTATCATTGGACAAAACAACTAAAATACGACTGGATTCAAACATTGACGAAATTAATGATTTGGTTCTGACTCGCATCAGGAATTGGTCACAATAATAGTCATACATCTTTTCCCGCATAACTCGTCTTAAAAACAGTCTGATAATAACAGAGAAATTATCTAAATACCTGTAAAGAACAATATATCAACTGAAAACGACAATACTATCTATAATGACTTAACGTTAGCATAAGTATTAGTATTCAAAACATCATTAGACAATCCCTCTGGGTACAATTCCATTTTCTAACGTGGTCGATTGCAATATTTTATAAAAGTATGCATTTCTTAATGATCAGAAAACATGAATATTAGTTTGGATATAACGAGTTTTAAAAGTGAATGAAGATGAGCTTGTTATCATTTTTTCTAGTGGTACAATATTTTTGTACTGTTATTGGTAAGATTGTTTTATAATTTTGTATCACAAATGATAATAAAATCGTGCAATGTTGCGAAGTATTTAAGTATTTATTTATTCGAAAAGCTTTTATATGAGTAAGTTCTTCAACTTCGAATAATGAATACGATATTTTTTTCAACGGTTTACATAAATTTTTCAAAAAAAAAAACGTAAATGTGATGGTGAGGATAAAATTACTGTAAACTAAAAATAAGTTGCGACGTTTTTAGATTGCAAAAATTGCGACGAGATAGGTTTCGAAAATAAAAAAAAAAATACGCATATTAAATTTTAGAAAGCATTGTATTCTGCATACGCAGTGTTTCCTAAAGGCGTAATAATTTGTCTGGATCTTTTTTTTTTTTCACA